TGACCATCCCTAGTGTGGACTGTTGGCGAATGACAGCTAAATTGTGCACGAATTGTGTCATGATTGTTAAATTCAGTAAACCAGGTAGGTTAGAGTGATTCAGTAGTGCTAGCAGCAGCATCGAGGCGCGATTGTGAAATTATGAGTGTGACTCCCGTAGAGTTCTTAGTGTGCCCTTCTCAGAATACATCTAAAATCTGGTAGTGAAGGCTGGTGATTGTAGTAGGTTCCTGCATGACTAACTATCCTACGAGATTGAGGGCATTTAGCATCATAGTGCTGATACCTCTTGATACTAACACAAGAGAGTAGAAACTCTTTACATTGTCTAGGATACCTGCATAAATGCCCTTGTATCTAAGTATGGCAATAGCAAATTGCCATACTTATACATACATACATACATACATACATACATACATACATACATACATACATACATACATACATACATACATACATACATACATACATACATACATACATGCAACAATGATCACAAAAATACATACATACAGTATATAAATTGCCATACCATACAAATTGTCAATATCAAATACGTATGATGGATCGTATTAGTCTCCAACTTATTATCAACTTTTACTTTCTTCCCGGAAGAAGCATCGAATTTGCTTTGCTGAATGTTTCATTAGGTAGTGACCAAGCTGTCACGTGACATTTCTTGATCTCCAAACCTCACTAGCCTCCCTTTGAGTCGTGGAAAGATAGTGGTATGTCTCAAGGAGTATGAGTAACCGAACTGGTTCAGTCGTATTCAACGACTAAACTAAAAGTTATAGTTCCCCCCCTCCTTTTACTTGGGCACTCTTCAGAATGGAGTGCTTAGCTTAACACTATCCACATGTTCATAAGGTCCACATGTCCATAAGGTTCAAATGTCCATCCCATTCTGTGTGAAGATCAAGTCTAGCAAAGCTGGTTGATCACCACCCTTCTCCTTCTTGCCTTGCCCTCTCCCCTTCCCTTAATTAATATGTTGCATCAGGAAGTTCCTCTCTACTGTCTCTACAAGCTTAGCTCTCCATGTCTCTCCTCTTGAGTATCTTGTTTCCCCACCCAATTTGTAGCCTCCCATTAACAGGAGCTTTTGGGCTAAATCTGTCTTTGCAACCCCTTGGAAAATATTTCTGCATGTTTTAATCGTAATTTCGTTGTTGTGCCTTGTTCTTCCGTAGTGGTCAATGGGGATATATGTGCGTGGTTGTAGGGGTCCACAGGTGAGCACGTGGTTGTAGGAGTCCACAGGTGAGGACGTGGTTGTAGGAGTCCACAGGTGAGGACGTGGTTGTAGGGGTCCACAGGTGAGCACGTGGTTTGTAGGGGTCCACAGGTGAGCACGTGGTTGTAGGAGTCCACAGGTGAGGACGTGGTTGTAGGGGTCCACAGGTGAGAACGTGGTTGTAGGGGTCCACAGGTGAGCACGTGGTTGTAGGGGTCCACAGGTGAGCACGTGGTTGTAGGGGTCCACAGGTGAGAACGTGGTTGTAGGGGTCCACAGGTGAGAACGTGGTTGTAGGGGTCCACAGGTGAGAACGTGGTTGTATGGGTCCACAGATAAGAACGTTGTTGTAGGGGTCCACAGGTGAGTACGTGGTTGTAGGGGTCCACAGGTGAGAACGTGGTTGTAGGGGTCCAGAGGTGAGAACGTGGTTGTAGGGGTCCACAAGTGAGAACGTGGTCGTAGGGGTCCACAGGTGAGAACGTGGTTGTAGGGGTCCACAGGTGAGCATGTGGTTGTAGGGGTCCACAGGTGAAAACGTGGTTGGAAAGGGGGGGGACAGAGGATGGTGGGGAAGGGGGGGGGGAGAGAGAGAACGAGATATAACTGTTTGATAAACACAACTGTATATATTTTCACCTCCATCAAGGTTGCTCAGAGTTGCGGCAACGTTGATTTTCAACCTGTGATTAGTTGGTGTGGTTGCCGCCTGTGTTGAGTGCATGGCAGCCAGCCAGAGTTGTGGTAGGGACAGGTGCGTGTGTCCCCCCATCTCCCCCTCCCACCGTTTTCCTTCCCTTCCCCTTCTGTTTAGACTTGATGCTTGTGGGTTGATGTACTCCGGAAACACACTGCATCCTATCGTCTTTTGGCTGGTCACTTGTTTCGTTCTTGGCGCTCGCTGGTACTGTAAGAGGTGAGGGAGCTGAGGCTGGGACCGTCTGACCTCTGTTCGTCCTGCTGGTGTGGTCAGTGGGTCCCAGTCTTCCTCCTGCTGGTGTGGTCAGTGGGTCCTGGTGTTGTTTCCTTGTTGTGGTCAGTGGGTCCCGGTGCTGTGGGTCAGTGGGTCCTGGTGTTCCTTCTGTGGTGTGGTCAGTGGGTACTCCTGTTCCTGCTGGTGTGGTCAGTGGGTCCCTGTTCCTCCTGCTGGTCCTGTTCCTGCTGGTGTGGTCAGTGGGTCTACTGGTCTTACTGTTCCTTCTGGGTCCCAGTGCTGGTGTGGTCAGTGGGTTCCTCCTGCTGGTGTGGTCAGTGGTGTTCTGGTGTGGTCAGTGGGTCCTGGTTCCTTCTGGTCAGTGGGTCCTGTTCCTTCTGGTGTTCCTGGGTCCTGGTGTTCCTCCTGTGGTGTGGTCAGTGGGTCCTGGTGTTCCTGGTTGGTGGTCAGTGGGTACTGGTTTGGTGGTGTGGTCAGTGGGTGTGGTCCCTGGTGTTCTGGTGGTGTGGTCAGTGGGTGGTGTTCCTGTGTGGTCAGTCAGTGGGTGTGGTCAGTGGGTCCTACTGTTCCTCCTGCTGGTGTGGTCAGTGGGTCCTACTGTTCCTCCTGCTGGTGTGGTCAGTGGGTCCTGGTGTTCCTTCTGGTGGTGTGGTCAGTGGGTCCTGGTGTTCCTTCTGGTGGTGTGGTCAGTGGGTCCTGCTGGTGTGGGTCAGTGTTCCTCCCGGTGTTCCTCCTGCTGGTGTGGTCAGTGGGTCCTCCTGTGGTGTCAGTGGGTCCTGCTGTTCATCTCCTGTGTGTGGTCAGTGGGTCCTACTGTTCCTTCTGTGGTGTGGTCCTTCTGGTGGTGTGGTCAGTGGGTCCTGGTGTTCCTCCTGCTGGTGTGGTCAGTGGGTCCTACTGTTCCTCCTGCTGGTGTGGTCAGTGGGTCCTGGTGTTCCTTCTGGTGGTGTGGTCAGTGGGTCCTACTGTTCCTCCTGCTGGTGTGGTCAGTGGGTCCTGGTGTTCCTTCTGCTGGTGTGGTCAGTGGGTCCTGGTGTTCCTTCTGCTGGTGTGGTCAGTGGGTCCTGGTGTTCCTTCTGCTGGTGTGGTCAGTGGGTCCTACTGTTCCTCCTGCTGGTGTGGTCAGTGGGTCCCGGTGTTCCTCCTGCTGGTGTGGTCAGTGGGTCCTACTGTTCCTCCTGCTGGTGTGGTCAGTGGGTCCTGTTCCTGTGGTGTGGTCAGTGGGTCCTACTGTTCCTGCTGGTGTGGTCAGTGGGTCCCGGTGTTCCTTCTGCTGGTGTGGTCAGTGGGTCCTACTGTTCCTTCTGCTGGTGTGGTCAGTGGGTCCCAGTGTTCCTCCTGCTGGTGTGGTCAGTGGGTCCCACTGTTCCTCCTGCTGGTGTGGTCATCAGAATTCACTGTTCCATCTTTCGTCTTCTGGTTTTCATCACAATCTTCGAAAACAATTTTTGGACCATAGTTCATTTTCGATTTTCGATTTTTTAAACCAAAGGACTATGTGTCCGTGGTGAGGGCGGACACCCGAGGGTTAATGAATACCTTGACCGGGTATTAATGACGAAAATTAAATGATATCTCATGTATATTTACTGTCTATTCAGTCCATAACTCTCCATTACTTAATTCGTATTTTTATCAATAATCGCTTGTAATTTTTACACACAATCCACGGTTCCTTCGAGTACTCATCTGCGAGAGTATAATTGATGATGTTCGTTTGTTTTAAATCATGTCGACTGGTGGAGTCCTTGCGTAGTGAGGAGGCTCGCTGTTGGTGGCTAGCAGCCTTAACCTTCACTGTGGTACACTGTTTTGTGTTCCGAGTCGCTGGTGCCAAGTGGGAGGGAATCACCTGTGTGTGGCCCTCGACGGGTTAGGTCACAGGGCCCCGTGCCTGGGGAGAGACGACCTCCAGCAGGTGAATTTGAATGTCCTTCATTCTTCTCAATGACTACGTCCAATGCTGGTTAGCGTGTGTGTGTGTGTGTGTGTGTGTGTGTTGTATCGACGCGTCGGTGGTGTGTCCCGCCTGTGAGTAGGATTAGAGTGTGCAGCGAGGCCCAGGTGCGCTCCGCTGATATGCTGGTAGTTAGGGGAGCGTGGAAAGATTGCCATAGAGGGAGAGGGTCGGGCAACACCGGCTTTTGGCAGCCCCAGACCCTGCCCGCTGCCAGCATCTTCCGCCGCTAGAGGGCAGACCAGGCACCCAAGGTTTTAAAAAGAACAGGGGTAGGCTTAGAGTTCTCACTTGTTCCTGGGCTGGACAGGGCAAGGCGGGCGTTCCTTTTCCTTTCTGTGTCTCTTTCCTGGGAGCCAGTCATTTTGGCCCAGGCTCGTGTCCTTAGGTAAGTGAACACCAGGCACCTACGAGCCCTCGGTGCCTCTCATAACCTTCTAGCTACGTGATACTGAAAACAAAAGCACGATTTACGCGCAAGATGTGCATCTGACTCTTGGAAAACAAAAAAAAAACAGGTGACCAGTCAAGAAATTGGTCTTGTAGATTGAGTTCTTAGCCGGACTAGTGCTTGGATGGCAGCGACAGCGGCATTTGAGAGGCGTGCCGTGGCAAGCAGGCACTCAAGGTCCTCCTCGGGTGCCTATTCGTGCCGACGGGGGACCTCCTCCTGTGCCTGTGTAGTGCATTAGTTATGTGACACAAGCAAGAACTCCAGTGAAACGGTGTGGTGATGTGACTGAGCCTCTCGTATCGCAACCTTGCTAAGTGCGACTCTAACCGTCGAGATCTGTGATGGAGTAATGCCTAAAATGTTTTATCCTGCATGAAGTGGTTACTCTCAAGACTAAGACTGTTGCCAAATGGCGGCCTTAAGGCTAGCGAGTGCTCGTTGAAGCGAGTGGTGAGTGTGTTGGAGCCTGCTGGTGGCGTGTGAGGTTAGAGGTGGCGTGTGTGAGGTGCTGGTGTGAGGGTGGAGGTGTGAGGCACTAGTGTGAGGAGCTAGTGTGAAGCCCCAAAACATCCACCCACACGCAAGTGTGTTTGAGGGGATGGCTGCCTCTCACGCCTTCATATCATCACCACACCCTCACTACGCACATGCCCACACATCACAACACCCTCACAACACACCTCGCCACATCCCTCTCGCCTTCAAAACGTTGGCTTCCTCATTACCTCACAATCCTTAATTCGTCCCCCCCCCGCGCACCACAGCAGTCCACTCACACCCTCATTTTCAGCCGCAATTGCTGGGAGTGTGTGTGGGGGATGTGTGTGTGTGTGGGGGGATGTGCGTGTGTGGGGGGGGGAATGTGCGTGTATAGGGGTGTGTGTGGGAGCATGTGTGTGTGGGGGGGGGGTGTAGGGGGGGAGGGTGTGTAACCTGTTCACTACATGTTAGACAACTTAGCTTAGACAACACTTTGATCCATTAACTAAGACCATTGAGTGACTAACCTTTCTGTCATCCGCCACAGGGTGGGAATGGCCTTCATAACACACTAACTGAAAAAAAACCTTTCCATGCAAGTCCACTAGTTTGTGGCACCTCTTCCCCCACACATCTCTCCCCCAAGCACAACTAAGTGAGTACCACTAGGTGAGTCAGCCATGCGGCTGAATGGACAGCAGTCGGGGGGGTCCTAAGGGCACGGGTTCGATCCCCGGCGGAGGCGGATACAAATGGGCAGTTTCTTTCACCCTGATGCCCCCTGTTCATCTAGCAGTAAATAGGTACCCGGGAGTTAGACGGCTGCTTCCTGGGGATATGTATGTGTGTGTGTTAGAGAGAAATATATGTAGTAGACTGAGGAAAAATAGACTGGTTAGAAAGGCGGGGTCCAAGAGCTAATAGCTCGATTCTGCTGGCACAAATAGTAAATATACAGAACTTCCATACACCCCCCCCACACACACAACTCACCACGTCACACTTCCACACACCACAAACACCACACACACCTCAAACACCACCACACACCTCAAACACCACCACACACCTCAAACACCACCACACACCTCAAACACCACCACACACCTCAAACACCACACACCATCAAACACCACCACACACCACAAACACCACACACCATCAAACACCACCACACACCTCAAACACCACACACCCCACTACACACCACAAACACCACCACACACCATCAAACACCACAACACACCATCAAACACCACCACACACCATCAAACACCACAACACACCATCAAACACCACCACACCTCAAACACCACACACCACAAACACCACCACACACCTCAAACACCACACACCACAAACACCACCACACACCTCAAACACCACACACCCCACCACCACCCTACCACTGTTTCCACACCATTTAGTAAAAATTGTAAACAGCAGATGTGAATCAAAGTTGACATCATTGGCCAAAAAAAGTAATTAATTCAAGTATTTTATTTCCATATTACGGAAATTTCCAGCACTTTGTACTCGTGGGAAACTTAGATAATTTGTTTAACATTGCACGTGTAACCATAAGAAAAAACGCTGAATGATGGCAGGCTGAGAGACATTACTCTGATATCTGACAAAACGCGCACAGAAGTAATGGATATTTGTAAGAGATGAACCAGGTCGTTCACAGACACCTGAAGGCGGCTATACTCAGGCTTGTGTGAGTGCCTATGTGGGCTCTGCTCCCTAGCTTAAAATATACCTCTGCATATCCTAGCTCTGTCAGGATATAGCTCTGTATGCTCTCCCTCCACAGCTTAATAAGTTCTTGTGCACATCCTATCTCTATGAGCACGGTATAAACTCTGCTGCCCTGCTAGATATGTACTTCTGCACATCCTAGCTCTGCTCCCCAGCTTAATATGCATTTCTACACATGCTAGCTCATTGAGCATTATGTATCTGTATATTCTGAGTTGTTGTGAGGGCACGTCTTGTTGTTCCTGCAAGTAACAGGAAAATGATTACTTTTGTTTGACAATGGATGAGTAAAAGTCGCAAGACATTAATAGTGAGCCATTCTTTATTTACATATTACCCGAGAAACCCGCCAAAACCCGCCAGCGTATCTGATAAGGATTTGCCAGAGCAAATTATATGCTGTATGGTGTTACATATTTGGAGTGACGTCAGAGCGCTTGACATATCACGTTACAGAATATTTTTGAGTGACAAATTACATGACCCGGCGGCACAATGATCGTCAATTCATATAAGCTATAGTCCCCCTCGTGGTACCATTAGTATTTATTCGTTTATTTTGTAGTTTCAAGACAATTGGACGTAGTCCGCCTTGGCAGGAAGGGTAAACCACCGCGCGTCTTCAGTTTGGATATTTCTAAACACGCCGGCCATCTCAAGGGAGCTGGTAGCCTGTAGGCCAAAAATGAGCACCGTTTGAACTTGGCGCACTCGAAAGGGGCTGTACTATTTTAAGCCACTCGGCGCCGACCAACGAGAGCGCGCCAGGGGCCTACGTCAGCACTCCGCCAGCCAATCACGGCCATCCACATTGAGTATCACGTTTAAGCTGATCAGGAACTTAGCCAATCTTAATATATATGTACATTTGGCTAAGTATTGTTTTACAGCAGCCGGTTATAAGCGTATAAATTGCTACTGGATTTTTAAATTTTACTGAAAGATTGGTGTTTTTGTATTTTAAGCGCACATGCAGATAAGTTTTCTGTCATGGGTGAGAGGAATCAGCTGTAGTCGCGTCGTCTGCTGCCAGTCATGGGATATTATTGCACTATATCCAGGCTTGGATTTTTGCGCTCAAGGCAATTAATTTATAATAAAGCTATAGGAAAATAGATCCTTGGAAATCAGGAAGGCATTTATGTGCTGAGTTTTGCGTAACTTGAGAGACACGCAAGCCGCCTGTCAGCTGGTGGCTGTGAGACGCCCGGACGTGGCCATACGCCGCTCAGTGTTTTTCTGGCGGTGATGGTGGGCGTGTGACGCAAACTCAAGTGGAAAGTCTCACTTGATAAGTCGTGTGGTGCGCTCTGTGGCGCTCTCGAGGCCAGTTTAGGCGTGGATGTAATACCGCGTTGCGTTACTAACACTTGGAGGTGGTCAGTGGTGAACGAGGAGAGGAAGTGTAGTGTGGTGGGTTAAATTGTATTAGGTCGGGGTGGAGGCGCGCCTGGGAGTTCCTTCATCATCGTCATCAGCTGGCGAGCTGATCACTGCCTCTCCTGCCTCGCCATCAATGACGCAAACTCAATGGAAATAGTAAATAGCGCCTCCTGATGACAGGGTGAGTCATATTGTGGCGATGTGACACCAGTCCAGTGAGAAACATTTGCTTTTAAACTATACGCTGTATGAAGATGATAGAATCCCTCCAAGTGGTTAAGACATTTGTCTTAATTGCTAATGGGGAAAAAACCCAGAGGGTGTTCAGTTACCTTGTTTATTGCACTGGTGCAACAGCTGAGGTTATTTGGTGACGCCACGGAGCTCCACATGGGATGTTCATAGTGCAAGACCTTTAACTAAAGTGTTTCATGTTGTATAGGTGAGCCCTGTACGCTGGACCCAATATATTAATTTTTTGTAAACCTGTCTGAAATGAGCAGTAATTTATTCTCGAGTGATAGCCTATGGAATTTCAGAGCATTAACAATTTAGCTTTTCTATTAAACAAAGAATCTTTGAAGTGCATAATAAAACTATACGAGAAAACAATACATTCACGTATAGAAAATAATGTAACACTTGTTGATTGGGTGGATTATAGTGGCGTATGAGTAGACTCGCGGTATAGTAAATTCGAGCAGCTAAAGTTGACCACGGAACCAGAGCTCTGAAAGATAAATTAAACTGTGGGGAATTAATATTAGCATAGACTAATACTTGGTCTAAAGTAATTCTTACACGTTCATTGTGTTGATTGCGGAGGAACTCCTCCAGTAGTTTGTCGAACTTCAACAGGTTGTGTAGTTTTGTAGGTAAATGCGGCAGAAATGTAATTAATATAAACAAATATATACCTACTGAGAAACATAATTCGACCTCTTGGTTTATTGGAAAGATGTTAGCATGGGTTATGAAGATGTTGCGACGACTTGGCGCACCCTTATTGTTTGTGCTAAGATTTTTTTTTTAATATACTTGGGACCATATTATAATTACACCGAAATTTTGCCAAAGTTCTATTCCATTAATATATCTACGTCAACATCATATACTCGCTACATTGTAAAACAATGAATAGTCAAATATTTTCCTCTAAAATTATTCACAGACACCGGTAGAATTATAATGTCGTGCTCCCCCCCTCCCCCCCCCCTATCCACGCCTCATAAAACGGCACTGAAAATTGATCGCACGCAAGTGACAAACATGGCTTAGTGTGTGTACGAGGCGTGAGTTTGTCAGTGCAAAGAATAGCAGCAACGTGTTTACTCGGTTCATGTTGCTAACTGCCGAGTTTACGAAGATGGATAAATACCAAATTCTTATCGCCCCCCCCCCCCCCCACGCTACACACACACACACACACACACACACACACACACACACACACACACACACACACACACACACACACACACACACACACACACGCACGCACTGGCACGCACAATAGCCTCTAGTTCACAATTGGTTGTGCGAATCTCGTTTTTACTTGGACGTGCGTTAAACGTGTGTAAAGCTCTGCATCTACCTTTTTATATTTGATAGGATAGATTATTTTTTGATAAAGGTATGTACAGATGGAGTGGTGTATGTGTATATATAAATAATATGAGAGCTCTATATCTAGGTATAGATAACGCTATAAACAAAGATTTAGATATAAATGTGGAGACGAAGGTAGATTCAATAGCTCAGGGACATTGCGTAAAGATGCAAGAGTGACTGGGGGGGGGGGAGGGGGAGTGGGTGACTAGGCTAGTGTGTTGCGTGGACAGGTTTCTCGTTATCAGTGACTGTATCTTGTCATTGGTTCTTGTGTTGCAGCAGCAGCAGCATTCTTTAGACTCTTTTTAAAATCTATCAGACTCTCGGGGTGAATTGTGGCAGAAATTAAGGACAGTTGTAAGGCTAGATTGTTTTATTGGTATTTGTTAGATGTAGCCTCAATTGAGAAGTTATACGTACGAAGGGAATTTAAAACTGGTTGGAGAAAACCTGGTTAACCTTTACGTTTTCGATTAATAGGCTGCAGTGCTATAATGACACGTTTTATTAGTGAAGCATTTAAAATAAGACATTAATGCCGTGTCTGCAAAATAGTATACTGACTATCGATTAGGTGTGCTAAATATAATTACAAATATGAACTAAGCTAAAATCTATCTATTATTGAAAAGTAATAGCGATGATCTACGCGAGTACGTCCTGCATTTATCTGGTGTACCTCCAGAGGACGAATATGGCATACTCTTGAACCTAGGCTAACTATTCCTATAGTTGGAATAGTCTACCCCTAGAATAGTTTTTCTGCTATACAGTAGTTCATGTTTACGGGTGAGCTAAGCATTGTTAGCCCATTAAGGAATTGTACTAAAACTATGTAGGATGTTTTTATATTAGTTTTATTTTTTTATTTTTTTTTGCTTCTGTAGGCCTAGCCTGTCTTATCTCTGTTGTAGGCAATGATTTTGTGAACGAAATGTTTACCATGGTGCTACTATTATGTGGCCAACACTGATATGATCAATGTACCAATTGTTATATTCATCAGTAGTTTGTATTTTTATTTTGGCCCAGGGGCCTGACAGCTGAGTGAACAGCGCTCGGGTTTAGTAGTTCTGAGGTTCCGGGTTCGATCCCTGGCGGTTTCGGAAACAAATGGGCAGAGTTTCTTTCGCCCTGATGCCTCTATTCATCTAGCAGTAAATAGGTACCCGGGAGCTAGACAGCTGCTACTGGCTGCTTCCTGGAGATGTGTAACAAAAAGGAGGCCTGGTCCAAGACCGGGCCGCGGGGACGCTAAACCCCGAAATCATCTCAATATAACCTGTGGTTACTTTTATTATGTATTGACTTATTTTTGTCCTTAGTAGTTTGTGGTGACAATTAACGAGATTGCTTGTGATTGGTTGGCAGAGTAGCAGAAGTGGACGGAGCAAGAGAGAGAGAATAGATCGCCCGCCATCACCGAGCCACCATGGATGATGCACATTGCTTTCCCGTCGAGGACGTCGTCGCGAAATTTGGCGTGAACATTGAGAATGGCCTCTCCGCGTCTCAAGTGAAGGATTATCAGGCCAAATATGGCCCCAACGGTGAGGATCCTGAGTTGGTAATCACTTCTTGTCAGGCATGAGCACTTTCATAGTGGTTATAAGTAGGTCATGAGTAGTTATCTACGCCCTAAATGCCAGGACTAACACTAGACTTAGGTGACAGAATGGTGAAAACATCTGTAAGGCATTGCCATTAGACACATGCCCATAGATAGGCTTGTCCTTAACGTGTGATGTCAGAAAAGAGCATGTCTTAGTTTCTGCAGAGCCTATACCCACGTGAGGCTAAATCAATGTTAAACTGATTTCATATTAACTAAGTCTTTTGCATTTTATAAATGATCAAGTTATGTCGTACCTATGAACCAGAGCTGCCTAAGAGACAATTTTCCTTTAAATAATTACTTATTTTCACATCCAACTCTCTCTTTTAATTATGGTCATAGTGTGCACACACTTAGAGTACACGCGCCCGCACGTGTTAGTTTAATAATTACTGTATATATTTTGAGGCGGGGTTAATTTTCTGAGCCCATTATGTGCTGCTAACCTTTTCTATAACCATTCACATGATGGCTATGGGGGGTGCACTATCACTTGTGATGGGTATGGGGGTGCACTATCACTTGTGATGGGTATGGGGGTGCACTATCACTTGTGATGGGTATGGGGTGTAGTATCACTTGTGATGGGTATGGGGTGTAGTATCACTTGTGATGGGTATGGGGTGTAGTATCACTTGTGATGGGTATGGGGTGTAGTATCACTTGTGATGGGTATGGGGTGTAGTATCACTTGTGATGGGTATGGGGGTGTAGTATCACTTGTGATGGGTATGGGGTGTAGTATCACTTGTGATGGGTATGGGGTGTAGTATCACTTGTGATGGGTATGGGGTGTAGTATCACTTGTGATGGGTATGGGGGGTGTAGTATCACTTGTGATGGGTATGGGGGTGTAGTATCACTTGTGATGGGTATGGGGTGTAGTATCACTTGTGATGGGTATGGGGGTGTAGTATCACTTATGATGGGTATGGGGGTGCACTATCACTCACGAAAAGGAAGGGGGAAGGAGGAGGGGATATAGGATGCCTAATATATGAACTAAACAACTCTCCCTCTCCACCACAGAGCTACCCGCCGAGGAAGGCAAGTCTCTCCTCCAGCTCATCCTGGAGCAGTTCGACGACTTGCTTGTTAAAATCCTTCTTCTCGCAGCCATTATTTCATTCGTAAGTAATTTGTATTTTCGTCTAATTTCCTGTTGATATCTTGTGATAATATGGCATAATTTGTGTATTATATGGTGCGGGGAGACTAAGTAATCCTGAATATAAAAGCTTGGTAGCTTCACAATCCAAGATTGTTATGAACAACCTCGTAGCTCTTCAGAGCTCATAAACTTTACTAAAGGTAAACAAAGCTGGCCTGATTGTGGAAAGATGTAGAGGGTTCGTAAGTGGTTGCGTAAATGCTTGGTGAATCCTGGTTCAGTAGTTTGTTTATCACGGCATTCAACTTGTTTCCAACGTAAATTTAAATAAAAATTAGTTGGAAATTTAGATTTGAATGGGATATAGTTTCGAGAGCTGGGGAAGAGGGCTAGTGTGTGAAGCTGCTAGAGGGGGGGGGGCCTTCCTTGGCCAGCTTCGTCAGGCGTCTTCACAGTTTACAGCTTCATTTAGTTTACAGCTTCGTTTAGTTAACATGTGAATTAAGGAACTGAAGGCGACATATTGACCCCATACGAGGCAGCTCCTATCTATATCCACCTCAAGTCATTCATATCTATCTAATTTAGCTTCCAAGCCAGTATTTACCCAGGCCTTTCATAAGCCTAAACTTGTTTGTTATATCATAAATTCAACCCCATCTTCCAAAGATAGTACTGTAGTATCTATAGCTACTATGGGTGGAATGTTTTAATACTGAACCTCTGTACCATCCCCCCCCCAAAAAAGCTAGGTTTTGTATTATTGGAATAGAACAAATGCAAGCCAAAATGCTTTAACACTAATTACAAACATTAACTAGTCCTAGGCTTAATATACCTCATCTTGGTACATGGGTTCTGCCAGGTGAAGGCCTGTTGAGGTTTGATTTACTCTCTCTTGCCCTTCATAGTTTAAAACGTGGTTTTTTGTGCGCGCGCAAGTCTGCATTTTGTACTCCCATGCATAGTAGCCATATGTACTGTACTTTTTGGATGACAGGTTGCCTAAATTGGTATTAGGAGCCAATTTTGAAATGCTATTGGTTAGTGTTCTGTCTAATGGTACAAAGATCTGTGGAAACATTCCCAACTTTAAAGATAAACCTATCTAAAATTAAAAAGGCAGAGAACACTTCCTTAGCAGGACTAGCCATGTACTCGGGACGTTGACAGTGGTTTCTACAGGCTTAAACACCCTCTGGTTCGCCGGTACCCACACAACTGGTAGTGTGGGTATACGATACGAACGCATTGTATCCGTATTATATCCAGTTGTATCCGTATTATATCCAGTTGTATCCGTATTATATCCAGTTGTATCCGTATTATATCCAGTTGTATCCGTATTATATCCAGTTGTATCCGTATTATATCCAGTTGTATCCGTATTATATCCAGTTGTATCCGTATTATATCCAGTTGTATCCGTATTATATCCAGTTGTATCCGTATTATATCCAGTTGTATCCGTATTATATCCAGTTGTATCCGTATTATATCCAGTTGTATCCGTATCACGAACGCATTGATTGGCTTTTATTGCATTTCAAGGGCAGCGAAAACTGGAAGACAAAGTTCTGAATAGTGGGGATTAGGGGACACTTTATCATAACATTCCTGGCGCGTTGTGACCACTGATTACCGCTTCCCGTTGGTAATATGCGCATCGCTAGCCTTCGGGTTTAGTGACTGTGCGAGAGGTTGGTAGTTTCGTTCAGGTGCACCGCGTTTTGTATCAGGCCGATCTTGTGGAGGGGCGGGGAGGTCAGGTGAGGCCTGTATGCAGGGGGCTGGTAGCCTCCCAGCCCTCGTGCTGCTTATCCCTCTTAGTCCCTTGAGTATTAATTGACCATCGGTGGCCAGGGCAGCCTCGCTACCACCCACCCTTGTATGGTGGCCGTATGAGCCTCCCTACATCAGTTAAGGTGTCCCTTATGAGGGTAGAAATAGCCTAAGCTATTCTATCCTTTTGAGATGTTTCATTGCCTCGATAATGATAGTATGGGAGCGTGGCCGCTACCGTAGCCTAGTGATGACTGGGCTAGACTACTGACGTCACGGGACACCTGCACACAGCTGTGTGGCACAGCCCCCTCACAGAGAAGGTGGGACGATTCACAGTGGGCGGACCAAGACACGTGACACCTGTGTTCACAACTGCCAGAGTAAAGCCGGTTCAAACCCCAGTCAGAAATTGTCCGTAAACTTTAAGGATTAAGGACCTGCCCGAAATGCTATGCGTCCTGGTGGCTGTACAAGAATGTAAGGTATTCAATAACCGCGTTGCTCACTGCTACCTGCCTGACCCAACGCCAAATATTAAATACAATTAGAATGTAGCTTTGGTTGCCTTGCTGCAGACGATACAAATGTTGTTGAAAATCTCAAAATGTTCGCTAGTCGTGTGTCCGCTAATGTTGGCTCTCTTAAAGGAAGTTTAGTGGCACGAAGGGACAGACTTAGCATAATTATTTGCTAATAATAAGTCTTCAGGGAATGATAAATGCAGAAGAAAGCTGCCACGACATGAAGCTAAATTCCACCACTAAATTGCTTTGCAACAAGATCCATCAAGCAAAGCCTTAGAAAGGAGTGAGAGGGAGGATAGGCGGTGTGGGACGATAGCTTCCATAAGAATGCCAATCTCAGTGAGTTGTTCAACTCCCGGATGTGTCGCAAGAAGGAAAAACAATAGTCACCTCAGGGAAATTATACAAATTCCAAAAATTCGCCCACAAGACAGAGCGAAAGAGGCCAGTCTTATTAGCCAAAGCTTCATAGCAGTACGAACGTAATGAAGAAATATATATTTACTCACTATAGTGTAGGTGCTGAATGTAGAACATGAAAAAACATATTTTTACTCTAATATAATTTTATAACGAAATTAGACGAAACTAAGCAGCAGGTGACGCCACAGGAAGCCGACGATTCCAAGCGACAATGTTGTGGCTTTTGGTAATTAGATGGACTCAATTTCGCAATAAAATTATATTATTTCAGAGTAAAAATGTGTGTTTTTCATGTTTCACATTCAGCACCAACATTATAGTGAGTAAATATATAATATTTCTTCATTACATGCTAGGAAGCTTTGGGTAATCAGACGGGCCGGAGCGAAAGTGCCTTAAACTGCGCCAGGAAATTGCTAAGGGACAAGATGCAGAATTGAGGCAGAGATCAGTAGACCCTGAAGATATAATTGTATGGTGAAGTACCAGAAGATGTGATAATAACAACGGTTTGTAGAATCCTAAAGGCTCTACGACCTTCACCATAATAAGATACTCGGGCGAGTCAAATTAAGAAGATACAACTCAGAAAATTCAACAAACTGATGAAACATAAATCTTGATCCAAAGATGATCAAAGTTTGGCGATAAAGACGTCAAGGAGACGAGGCGAGTACTACTACTACTAATTGGGACAGTAGCCACACCGCCTTAAGATAGAGAGATAACGAGGCAGATGTTATCTAAATATTGGAATGGTCAGTAGAAATGGTATTGGAAGCTAGAGTTTTAGCAAGATGTAAAGTTCGTGTATTTCTCTGATATATATTGTGGAAGAAGAGTTCACCACAGAAGAATTAGGATCGTGGGTGGATCCGTCCTCGACCAGTCGTAGTTTTATCAGCTCCATATGCCGGGGTCCAAGAGCTAAGCCTGTATCGGCAACCGTGGTCATCCAAACGCAATAACAAAATGGCTGTAAATTGTGTAGTGTGTTGGAGGGCTAACCGTTGTCAACAATGGCAGTTTGTGTGTAGGTACAGAGAGTGGGCTGTACCAGGTAGCACACACTACATGGCTACTACTGCCAAGCTCAAGTGTAAAGCTTGATACCATGAAGCTTCATGAGAACGTGGCCCGTTACTCGGGCTTCATTGGGTATGGATATTCAGGCTAGCATGGCAGGCCACAGTAGTTTGAAGAGCTGAGAAGGGAAATGAATAGTTCTCAAACTTCATCTTTTTTTTGTCGTTTCTTATTTCTGCGTTTAATGTTTTACAAATTTAACCAAGTTAAATTTGTGAGGAGCGAGCTCAGAGGACTAACCTCAACCATCAATAGACCCATACCATGACTCCCAACACGGTGGGTTTTGTCGTATCTGTTTGAATTCATAACATCCTCTGCTGCTGTTTCACTTCCTCACCCCCCCCCCCCCCTCCTCTCACTGCGAGCGCGCGCGTGAGAGCCTTCGCTCCACAGTTTCGTAAACTCACATAAATTCAATTTAGATACGGAAGGGAAGTTATCGAACTATGGGAAAGTTGTAGTGATTATTATGCCCCGAGGCTCGCGTCTGGGCATCATGCAAGACAAGATGAAGGTTACAGCATGGGTTAATACCTCATTACCTGCACCCCTACCTCCTCCCCTTAAACTAGACTCGGGCCCGACCACTTGGAGTGCAGTCCAGGTCGGTGGCATCTGAGGTTTGTGAGAAATCTAGAGTGGAAACTGATCGGGCCGGGCATATCACGTGACTAAGTGACGTCACTCTGACGTGTACGCCTGCGTCATTCAAGGTTGCGACGATGCTGAGAGAGAAATTGTTCCTAATTTGTAAATGTGTTTCTCGGAAAGGGACCATGAAATAATCACTCGCACGTGGAAGCACAAACGTTCCTTTTGTGATGTGTGACTATTTCGTTTCAGCGAGCATATCTCTATGAATAGATAATCTTCTAACGGACCCCGCCACAGCCTAGTTGGTAACGTGAGAAGCCATCGTGGAAGGCGGCTCAGTATAAACATCTATGGAGTGGCTTTTTAGTCAGTTTCGCATGTCTATTGGTTATGGTGTGGTGTGCATCTTGTGTACAGTGTTGTAACACCTTGAACGCCACACTCCACGGCTCGAATTGAAGCCAAAATGGCAATAATTAAGGCGAGGTATGGTTGTGGAAACAACGTCCGGGAGGGCGTGCGTGCGTTCGTGCGTGCGTCAAATAGCTGCGAGTCAGGTGTTGTTAGTAATTGTTGATAAGCACAGGTGTTGCCATAATCATCATCAGAGGACCCCATACTCGACCCCACCACCATATTTGAGTGTAATGTTAATGTCGCCCTATCTTACTTTCTTGTGGCATCAGTCTTAAGAGCCGTCATGTCTGGGACCATGTATGACAGGTTAGTGGATCATCAGAGTTAAGGTTTATGTGTTGACGACACTTTCACTATTGACGATTGTTGATGAGTAGTTCGTCCCTAGGCCGTAGGCTCTCTGGCCTTCAGTAGCCTAGTTCTCAAAATTTTATTGTTTTTGTATTAATTGCAAAGTTCGAATGTTTGTGCCAGTTAGAGGGGACCGAGGTATATATGTATATAAATATATGTATATAAATATATGTATATAAATATAATTCATTGAATATGGGTTTGGGGCTTCTCTATAAATAGTGCTCTTGCATCTTGGTTTAATTGGAAGAGGATTTTTCCTAATGTCATATTTGTTCAATATTCACGGAAAGAAGACAAATTAACTATAATGTATTATACTTATTATAATTTACACAAGGTTTAAACCTACAAGATTAATTCTCAAGTGAGGAATGACAAGACGTGAGGAAGCATGATTTATAACACTGGGGAAGCCGTTGCATACAAATTGAGGTGAATTTATTGGACATTTACCTCTGGGTCTAATTGAAAACCTGCTGCCAATATACACCAATTGTGTGTACCCCTATCACACCTGCGTCCCCGAATTTCATCACTTGGAACACCGTGTGAAGCCTCTCTTCCGTCTAAAGGATAGACAGTAAACAAAGTGTTCTGGAAGATTTCCTAGAGGACAGGTCTTGTGGGTCTGCTCTGCCACATGGCTGCTCTTTCCAATCTCACTCCCTCTTCGAAAGCCAACTGGTGATAAGCTTCTCAGGCTGGAGAGGCTGCAGGCTTCTCAGGCTTCATCAGGCTGGAGGTCCTCCTAGTCACAAAACATTGTACGTCAAGCAGATTCTATTTATGATCTCGTTAATTTTAATAAACATCAGAGGTCCACGGTTGTTCAACACCCTCCGAGCGAGCAAAAAAAATATTGCCGGAACAACCGTGGACATCAAGAAGAAACTAGATGGTTTCCTCCAAGGCGTGCCGGACCAACCAGGCTGTGGTGGGTATGTCGGCCTGCGGGCCGCTCCAAGCAATAGCCTAGTGAACCAAACTCTCACAAGTCAAGCTTGGCCTCGGGCCGGGCTTGAGAACAACCATCAACCCAGAACCCCATCAACCAGATAATACAGCCCCAGACGTATTTGTCAATTAATACCAGAATTTCATTCCTGATTGCGAGGAGGAGAATGTCTGGAACCTCTAGAGGATTTTGTTTATTGGAAATTTGGAGTCGATCGGTGCACAATTGGAACCGCTTGTGACTGTGATTAAAAGAGACTTGTTGGTATCCAAGCTTATCTTCCTGCCGAATACTAGGAGACGGCTCCATCCCTCACGGCTTAGCTCTGTGGTCCTGTTTCATTAGGTATTTTCTCAGATTAGATTTTCTGAGTGGAGCAGAGATTCCCATGCTAACTCTTGTGTTAGATGAAAATTATTAAAGACGTGTAAATAACTTCACAAGATTGGCACTTGGTTAGCTATGGGGTTGGGTTCCTGAACCCATTATGTGCCTCTGTAGCCTTTTCCACCACCGTCCACGGCATCGGCATGGGGTGCATGATAAACGAATCAGTCAATAGTTTTTTTCTTAGGGCGATACAAAAAAATTGTTAAACGTGTAGATATCTTGAAAGGGTGTGGGAGAAGTGTGGCGGTGTGCGCGCTTGGTTGTCGCTATCATCTAGTGCGCCGAGTATGTTGCTTATCACAGTGCTCTCTAAACATTTGTTGACATGAAGTGTGAGCCACCGAGGGGTTTAGTGCCGGAGAAGTTAACAACAAGGTACTGTGAACGGTGTTGGCTGTCGTGGTCTGGGAACGGTTTACCAGAGACTGGGAAAGCTTACACTTCAGTGTGGTGCAACGAGCTCCGCGCAACTTTAACATCTGGTGAGAAAGGACAAGTGACGAGGGAGTTTTGAAGATCTTGCTAAAACTAGTGAATAAAGAGAGGAGCGGTAGCCACAGGAAACGAAAGCGCGGTCCATTATCCAGTTATCGGGGAGTATCTAGCGAGCATCCTCTCACGCCCGCCGGCCTGGTGTGCTCCTCTTGCTCCACCTCACTGTCACTGCCTCTCCACCCCGGCCTCCTAAGGTTTCCCAACGTCAAGAAACTGTCGTACTAAATAAAGTGTCCTTATCCTAGCTTACCAGAGGACCCAAAAGAGAAAACGAGACAGTATGTCAAGTCTGCGAGCCGCTACCCATTTTCTAGTACGACGATTTTTTTTTTTTTGGCCTTAGGTAGAGTATACGTCAAAATGCGACGGTCTATCAGGAGGACGGCCACTCACATGCCGTGTCTCGCTGCTGCTACTCTTAAAACGCTAAGCGGTATGCTTTTGTCTTTGTTTTGAAATTGAAATTGAAATAAGTTTGAGGTAAAATACACACAAAGGGATGAGGTAGCTCAAGCTATTCTATCAACTATATAACTAAAGTTAGTATCGCCTCTTCTTTTCCGATATATTATTCTTAAATAATTAGCAACATTGGTGCAAGATTGTCCCGCCTGAACCAGTTAATCTTCAATTCCAAGTCTATTTCAGTTATCATGACCTAAGAGTCTTTAAACCTGGGGAAAAAACACACACGCTTTAAATCGGTATAATATTAGACATGAGGACGTAAGCCGTGTACGTAGATATGGATTTAAGAGGTGTTGGTGGGGCCCGTAGGGGGAGTGTATGCAGCGCCGGGTATTGGAGCAGCGCGCGTGTTTGATAGGAAGGTAAACTGTTAGTGAGGACCCGGGGTGGAAGCCTCCCTTGACGCGCCCAGCATGGCCGCGCCGCTCTGTCCCTTCACCCCTTCTAGAGCATTTATATCCTCCCCTCCAGCCCTCATCACGACACATATGATTACGGTCCCCCTGTCACAATACGCTCCCGTCTATCCTTACCATTCACAAGTATAAAGGAATTTTGTTTTTTGTCGGTTAACGCCCAGGGGCTTGCCGCCCCCCCCCCCCCACAATCCAGTAGGGCACTAATTACCTACGACTAAGACTCGTGTCATTGGCAGCGTCTTTCTGACTATGGTTGTGGTGGGGGAGGAGAGGGGACACTAACCATATTTGACATAGGCTTACGGTAAGGTGTAAGTGTAGTTCTGGTAAGTGTTGGGGTGATGATCAGTAGAGGGGGACACGCACTATCGCCTCCTGGGCTCGTTAGCTCTTTACGGCCTCGGGGCCCGTGTTGTGGCTTTTCATAATGTTGTTAATGCAACTTTAGTTTCCAAGTGGCTGGTGCACTTTGCCTTCACTTCCTCATATCCCAGCTCCTTGTCCTCATATCCCAGCTCCTTGTCCTCATATCCCAGCTCCTTGTCCTCATATCCCAGCTCCTTGTCCTCATATACCAGCTCCTTGTCCTCATATACCAGCTCCTTGTCCTCATATACCAGCTCCTTGTCCTCATATACCAGCTCCTTGTCCTCATATACCAGCTCCTTGTCCTCATATACCAGCTCCTTGTCCTCATATCCCAGCTCCTTGTACCCTTCCCTTCTAAGTGCCGTAAAGTCATACTGGCTTAGCGCTTTCTCCTCATAATTAAATTTAATGGCGGCTGCGCTATTGGTCTGATGAAAGATGGTGTCTTGCAAGAGAAAGTAGCATAGGCTGATGCGGTTATGAAAGTTTTCATTCCAAACCACCGAGACTTGAAACGTCGTGGCTGTCCAGAACACCCGGATTATTAATGCGCTTCTCGCAAACACTGCAAGACTTGCTCCAAGACGCTACAAGGATCTGTGAAAGTCTGGTCCCATGTAGGTACTTGAAATTGCAGTATTCCATTCTGGAGTGACAATAAGATGTCAATCAAGGGCTACTCGCTTCTCCCATTCGAGTAGAAACACTATTGAATTAACATGTAAAGTCTGGCGTTGTACTTTTACGAAAATGGCGGGGGGGGGGGCACTCAAACTATTTCAAAACGAAAAATAGGCTGCTGGAGGATTTGGTAGGAACGGTAATGGCGGCAGCGTGAGTCCGGGTAAATTGTTTAATATTTCCAAGACCCTTGGATTACACAACAACTCTATCAGCCCTCTTGTCCGCCCTCCAGCGTGCCCAGACGTTGCCACGGGCATCGGAACCTGTACCCTGCTTACAGCATCTTCCTATCCTGTGGCGGTACCAGTTTGACGGAGCTTCGCAGAGGAATAATAAACTGTCACGTTGATCGTGTGTGTGTGTGTGTTTTGACCAATTGGTGAAACGGTCCGGTGTTCAAAATAAAGTGCCAGTGTGTGTGTGTACCGCTGGAGCACAGATCTTGGTATTGTCGTGTCCCAGTAAAGCCAAGCCTTGCTCGTTCACTGTTTTCCTCAGGTTTCTAGATTTCGTCGTTCCAGGGATCACTGTAAATATTCGACTCGTCTATGCCTCACTCATCCAATTGAGTTTCCTGGCTCTCCAGCCCCTTCCATGCCCTCCGGGGACCACCAGGGCCAACAAGCACGGGAGAGTGCCCTTCAATAAGCTGTCGTCGCTGCCACCTGCTGGTGCTCTCACCCACTTTCACTCCACCACCCAAGGATCCACCTCGACAGCCATGTGTGTGCTTGTTACCTTGTTGGTGCTTGTTAAGCCACACCTGGGTGGGGGGGGGGGGGATTGGGAGACGAGCAGCAATGTTAGAGTACAAGCTTCATTACATTACTCCCTTGTTTGGTTCCAGTGACTCATACCAGCTTATCCTTAATCCCAACAGGTCCTGGCGTGTTTCGAGGAGGGTGAAGAGACCGTCACCGCCTTCGTGGAGCCCTTCGTCATCCTGCTTATCCTGATCGCTAACGCCATCGTGGGCGTGTGGCAGGTAGGTCCCTCAACGCTGCACACTGATGGCTCATGGCGGTCCACCTGTACATAACATGGCGAGGGTGATCGCCGTCGTCTCAGTTGGGCATGGGGTGCTTGGCGCTAGTTTTGCACCACCATGTGGAGTGAAGGGCAGTACATGACCTCATATAATAGACGTTGATCACATCTTCGCAGTACTGGGGATGAACCAGCCCGCTGTCGCAGTTACCCCTCGCTTGTTAAGCGACTTAATAGCTGTGGTAGTCGGTTGAGTAGTTAAGGAAATGTTGCCAGGTGAGGGGTGGAGTAGGCAGGGTTTAGTCAGACAGGTGACACCCTCCAGGTGAGGAGAGGGAAGTCGGGTGTTGGTAAGCAGGCAGGTAGGTGAGGAGCATATGAGGCGTCGGGGAAAATGTTGAGTGGGTGGTGAGGTGTGGTGTCAAGTGTGGCGGTGATGGAGGGCCTCAAGGGGCAGGTGGCCCCTAGATGAGGCAGTCTTATTTACCTCACACCTTGTTGTCTAGTTCTTTTTCCGACCACAGACGTGGCCACACATTTACAGTGCTAACCAGTTACATATACATTTTCTTCTCTCCTCCGTGGACAGAGTTAGAGGTCTGTTAAACATCACTGAACTGCAAGTTCAGTGATTTATTGAATAATCAACCACAGAAGGTGACGGTACTGTTTTCAAAATATCAATCTAACCTACATACATAAATGCACACTTAGGTCTGTGCTATATAGTGTTCTTGTGTAGTGGAATAGAAGCCCAGGCCCAACTGACGCGACGCTGGGACGTTCCAAAACGTTCATCCCACCGCGGTATGGAGAGACTACCTAGCACCTGACCTCACTCCTGGTTCACCATCCCATGTCTCTTTATCTTATTTTGAACATTATTACTAATGCCGGATTGTTCGTTGATCTAAGATTACTGTAACAGGCAAAGCGAACAAAGGAAATATGCAGGTGTATCCAGGTAGAGAGAGCGCGAGCCTGCCTTGGGGCGAGGTTGTAAACTATGCATGGTGTCAGGCCCCTCTGTTTCGCGGCCGGTGGTGGTCCGGGCCACCTCCAAGGGTGGTGGTGGTCCGGGCCACCTCCAAGGGTGGTGGTGGTGGTCCGGGTCACCTCCAAGGGCGGTGGTGGTGGTGGTCCGGGCCACCTCCAAGGGCGGTGGTGGTGGTCCGGGCCACCTCTAAGGGCGCATCAGGTCTTCATGACGCGAAGAACGAGTGGGTGGGGGGGTGTTGTGAGACTGCTGTGGGAGAGACTAAGGGCCTAGTTTGTTACAAGTACTATTTATGAAGCCTTGTATCAACATCTCAATGATTATTTTGGCTATATTGGTGTTGATTTTAAGCAGCGTCTTGCACGAACGGGGCATCATCTGTGTGGAGTCGTTATGAAACCGAATAAGCCCGCCAAACACACACCGAAACTACGACGTTGGTACAACGTTCGAACAAGTTTTAACACCTCCTAACCAGTTATAACAACCAATATATCAAGTTGTAACAACGTTCTAATACGTCATAAACACGTTAAGCCAAGATGTAACAACTTTATTACAAGTTGTAACAAGCGGAAAATAGAGACAGTTTCGGTTTGTGTTTCCAGGGAGGGAGGCGGGGTGGTGGTGAAGGGGGCGGGCACCAGGAACAGTGCATTAAGTGATCCAGGCTGCTCTAGGGTTCCGGGGACGCGGCCCAAGCAGGCCAGGAAAGTTAGGCGTTGTCTGGAATACTTTTGTAATTAGTTGGATGGGTTACTGAGGAAGCACCTGGGCAGAGTTTAAAGTCCTTCCCCTGCCTTCCTCCAGACAGCCACTGGACTGGCTGGTTGAAGACTAAGGGCCAGCAACTAGGTTACTCGTATAGACCTTAGGTGTTAGAGGTGAATAAGATTGACTGCATATTAAATCTGGAGTACCAGGTCTTGATTATATCAGAGGTTGATGGTACCTGTCGCATCCCAGCAGTATTTTAACACTGAACAGCATCTCTGCTGAAGTATTTTAACACTGAACAGCATCTCTGCTGAAGTATTTTAACATTGAACAGCATCTCTGCTGAAGTATTTTAACACTGAACAGCATCTCTGCTGAAGTATTTTAACACTGAACAGCATCTCTGCTGAAGTATTTTAACACTGAACAGCATCTCTGCTGAAGTATTTTAACACTGAACAGCATCTCTGCTGAAGTATTTTAACACTGAACAGCATCTCTGGTAAAGTAGTGAGGCTACGACGCGAGGTGATGCGATGTGGTGATGGAACTGTGTTCAGTTATACATTGGCATCCTCAAATAATACTTGGCGCCTTCATGAATGAGTGTATAATCAGTGACGTTAGTGAATCGTTTTCAATTTCAGTGACGCATATAAACACTCGGTACTGTACACTGTCATTCATAGTGTTCATACCGTGGTAATGTTCACCTTGAGGGGCTGTTTCAGTCGTAGTTATGGTATGTAGAGCAGTGTTAGCGTGGCGGCCGCCATCCTCCACTCTCCCGCACCTCTGTAATGGCCTCCACTTTCTCCTCGGATTGCCAACTCCACTTGCAAATGGTTTATAGGTGTAATTGTTGGTGGTGGAATGAGAATCTGAGAGATCTGCGAGGTTGGTGTTCATGAGTGTGTGTGTATGTGTGTACGTCGACGTGTGGTGAGTTGTGTGCGTTGTTGTACGCTCTGGGCCGTGGTGTGCGTTGGTACGCGATGCCGCACGTGTTTGCCTGTATTTAAATGTGTAATTTACTATTTCAGTGTTATGGTTTGACTTGGTGTAGTGTATTATCAGTATAAAAGCGGTCTGTGTAAGGTTGGAGGCCAGACACTTGAAGTTGCTTCACCCAACTTTTTTGGATGACACATCGGTGGTATAGGCAGGTCATAGGCAGGTCGGAGTCAGTCCCAGTGCCACCATTTAATAAGATCGGCTCCTGTTGAGACTCCTATAAAGTCTGAAGTGCGGGTTCCGTTTTCCAGAGTTACAGTTTTGCGGCTGTTGAACACAACATAAACAGTGTTACTATAACATAGCATCAAAGTAACACTAGTAAAAATACTAGTTACATTGTGTGTTTGGTGGGGTTAGTTATTGCATGTTTTGAGAAGGGGCGGGGGGGGGGATAGAGGGAGTTAGAGCATACTTTCAGCATACCTTGAGAGTTGTTGTTTTTAGATTCAGCTACTCTTAATGTCCGTGTAGTACGAGCTATAGTGCCTGGAGATGGTTTCGAGAGTTCCTCTACTCCCCCCAACCTGAGAAGAGTGGTGGGTAGGAGGAAGGGGAATGGGGACCATATGGTGGGGGAGACCCAGACCCTCACCCACCTAGTGGTGGATTACTGTGAGGTGGTAGAAGGTTTTCACGACCAAAGACCACTTGGTTGATGGGGTTCTGGGAGTTGTTCTACTCCCCAAGCCCGGCCCGAGGCCAGGCTTGACTTGTGAGAGTTTGGTCCACCAGGCTGTTGCTTGGAGCGGCCCGCAGGCCCACATACCTACCACAGCCCGGATGGTCCGGTACTTCTTGCAGGAAACAAACTAGTTTCTTCTTGAATATGTCCACGATTGTTCCGGCAATATTCACTCCAAATGTGTATCACCGGCGGGCTACTCATGCCCGTGCCACCTCTTGTGGTAGGTTGATCTTCATCAGTCAGTCAGTAGAAGGTGTGTGATGCGCCCTGGACTGGGTGAGCATGTGGCCTTAATGGTGGTGCAGTGGGTGTGCCCTCATGCTCTTACAGCCTCACACAACTCACACAACACAGAGACCAAAGAGCTAGAGCTCAACCACCGCAAGCACAATTAGGAGAGTACAACTGGACCCCTTCTATGCTCTCGCACGCTCACGTTTCCGGGTTTGGGAATGATAACGGGGCTGGTTGTAATAATTGGGGGTGAGGCTGGCGGTGTCTGTGGTGGTGGCTGGCCAGGATTGATCAAGCATTTGGGCGTCTACTTAACACACCTGCTAGAGTTCCTTAGTCGTGGCGGCTTTCTGTACATTTATTAAACAGTTTGAGGTCCGGAGCGCTAGGAGGTTGCCTCTAACGATAATGACCTTGGCTTGTGAAGTTTTGAAGCTCGTAAATTGTTTAATAAGAACATGCTAAGCCGCCATAATCGAGGGAAGATGTGCCGGTTTCGTAAGAAGACGAATAAATGCCTGACGAACGCTTGCTTGGGTTGCGAAGGTAGAATGGTTCGGGTTGTGCGCGCGCGCTAGTGTGTATGGGCCTGTGTAGGTGCGTGCGCTTGTCTGCATTGGGTGGGTGGGTTTGGGTTTGGGTCCGCGGGCTATTTCCACCACCTGTGCCAAAAGTGGAGTGTTCTCCCGACTGTGTGCCAACCCCGGCCCTCTCCCGCTGCCTTCTGAGGGGCGGGGGAAGCCATTCACTTTCACCAGAACATAAGAATGAGGCCAATTTCCCCGCTTGAGAAAATGGGCACCAATAATAAATGATGATAAAGAGCGGAGTGCCTCATTAAGTGAACAATTACATTCTATCACGAGGCGGTTGTGTATATTTAGAGAAGGGCGCTGTCTGCCAGGCAGTTTGTTTTCCGAGTGACTGCACACCGTTTAAATTATATCCGGCGATAATGTTGATGTTTGTGAGGGAGACGGGCGGCAGGTGGACGGAAATCCTGCGTGTCACCAGGGGATTGTTGAGGCTACAGTGCCGGCCTGCCGGGTACAGCGGCAACACCACACGACCCAGAATACATAAAGATGTCCATCAGCTACGAAGTTCACCATCTGGTCACCACTTGGTCCGGGAGACATCTCCCGTCACGCAGGGTGCAGTCGCGCCTCCACAGATCTCCAGTATCAGCTCTTGATACTGGTAATGGCTCAAAAGGGCCACCACTTACGGGCTATTCATGCCCGTGCCACCTCTTGGGTGGCTTAATCTTCATCAATCAATCAATCTACGAAGTTGTCACAATGATTCGGTTGATGCCACAACCGGGTAGAGTGTGTGTGGCAGTTTC